TGTCAGAGCAAGCAGAAAATAATGCAGAATTGGAATTGGAGAAGTGGTTATTCACATATTCTGAAGCTCCTATCCTTGCTTTTCCTTTAATCCCAGATTCACTTGCTCCCATGCTTTCTGCTCTAGTTCCATTGACAAATTCCCTCCCTCACCATTTTTTTTTGCTGCTCCTCTGGAGACTAAATCCATGATTCAAAAAGCAGCAAAAGTGGGAGGGAAGAAACTTGTGATTGCCGGTGAAGTAACAGTTTTTTTGGCCAGTCTCATTGCTGTTTTTGAAGAGACTTTTAGCTGCATCATCAAATCTGTGCATCATCATCCATTCCACATCCTCTGGGGAAACAAGGAGAAGAAGCAGAAAAAGAGAGAAAATTAGGGATGCAGCTGGAAACTAAGAGTGGGAGCTGGGAATGGAGTCTCAAACACAGGTAAAACTGGTAGGAGAGTCTTTCACGGAAATCACTGCCATTCACAGGGCCAAAAAAATTACTTGAGCTTTTGCTGAGTGTCTGTATGCAGAAACCAGTGAAGGTATGTGCCGTGCCCCTATCCAGCAGCTTCATAGCATTGAGCAGGGAGAGGGTTTATAAACACTCAGTTGATGCTTAAGATACTATCCTGCGTGTAGGAATGGGATGTATCTCTGGATTAACTTCACTTTACAAACAAAGCTGTGGAGAGAACTAGACAAGCAGGCAGGTGAGCAAAACTTCATTTTTGAAACTGTCTTGATTCTTTCAATGTGAAAATTTAGCTTCAGGTTTAGTTTAATATAGAAAAGAATCCACATCAACACATGATGCATGTTATCAAATCTAGTTTTCTTGTATCCATTTGTGCTGTGTAAGATGAGGAGATGTACCAGACTCTCAGGCTCAGTTCCAGTGCTTGAGGCATTTGTTTCTGTCTTAGAACGAACTAACTGGGCAGGACTTGAGTAGTTCCTGAAAGGTTACCCAGATCAATTCGGATCTCAGTGAACAGTGGTTCAGGGGTAGTAATCAGTTAGTGAGTTTTAGTCAGGAGCAAGGGAAGAGGCTCCATACAGCTAAAATGGTGCTTTTTGCTGCTAAGCAGTTGGGACTTGGAAGCCCTTGCGTATTTATCATCTCAGTGGAATTGAGAGCAAGTCATTGCTAGAGAAAAAAATCTCAGTTCAGTGCAGCTGAGAGTGGAAGGCAGGGAAGCGTCTGTGTCGTATTTGCTTGATATAAGTTGGGAAACCAAATCTTGAGGAAATCCAGGGTAGTGCCAGCTCAGCGAAGACACAAAACAGCTGAATTTACGCTGAGAGTAGGAGGTAGAGTGCAACTTGAGAATTGAGAGGAATGCCACTCCATGGCGAGAGACTCAGTCACTGGGAGGTGAGCAGTTATTGAGACAGTGGATGGTGCAGTGGCTTGGAGAAAGTTTCAAGGATTGATTTTTGAAAGTGAAAAACGGGAATCCTTTGTAAAGGAGACAAAGTCATAATGAAATTTGATGGTCCCAATTGTCACTGAAGTCTGGGAAGGTTTCTGAAAATTCCATGGGGTCTGTCTTGATTGCACTTGCTATTTGATGTTCTTTGTGTGATGTTTGACCATGTTAGTCTGTTAACCTATGTTTATCTCCTGTTAATCCTGGATGTTCCACTCTAACTGGTGTGTACATGTATTAGATTTTTTTCTTTACTCAGTTTTGCATAGTAAAGTTTACTTTGTTTGTTCAAAAGCATAAAATATTTTGGTTTTATTCCCTTAAACTAAGTACCTAGGATTTCAGATTTTGACTACTTCAAACAAAAAGACGTTACTGGTCTTGAGTCAGATTGAAACATAAATTTGGCAGTTTATCAGGGATCGTAAGATAATGTCTCGATGGAGACCACAATATTAACTCATGGCCTTGTCTGAAATTGTAGCATAATTTGGCAGCTCTTGTAGAATTTTAAATTCACAGAAAAATATCAGTGGTGGGGCTTGCTGAGGTTAACCTTGATATGATTTTCATAGTTTCGCGATACCTTTTGAAAACAAAGGTGGCTTTGTCAGGTGCGGTGACTTTCCTGGAGAAGGAACATTTATCACTGAGACACATTTGAAAAATATTAACCAAAACTAGATTCATGGCGTTCACAGGAAAGTCGGTGTTAGAGTTAAAAGCAGGGGTTAAGAAAGTTGACGTAATTGAGGTGATAGCACAACATCTGGAATTGGAAGAGGGTATAAGAAAAGAAATTTGTTTTTTAAAAAAATGACAGTGGTGCATGTGAAATGTATTTCCTTTGAATCTACTAGTATGAGGCTTAGCTTGGTCAAGGTGACTGTTCCCAAAATACTGAAGTGAGTCAGCTCACTGGAGGTTATAGAAGGTCTTGTCTCTAAGGGAGAAGTCATTGTTTACTCCTCCAACAAAATAAGCTAACAAAGAATATCTTCGGAGCTACTGGGGCAGATTAGCCGTTGTATCATCAAACATAATAAATATGTTACAGATGGTTTGGTGAAAGACATTAACAGGGTATTTTTATAGGATTTATGAACGTATTCCCTCGTACAAAGTTGAGTTAGAAACTTAGTCGCTGGGAATTATTCCTTGTTTACCAGTGAAAGAGGTAGATTTTATGCTGGGTAATTATTTGACAGGCTTGGTATTATTAGATCTGAGTTTAGAGAGAACGAGGTGAGAGAAAAGGGAGATTTTATAGGAAGAACGGTTGAAAGGAAAAACCCAGCAACTGCAGGCAAATCAGTTCAACTGAAGTGTGGGAATGCTTCTAAAACAATTGTAAAATTAGATGCATGGAATGACGTTGATTGAAAAGAGTCAACATGGATTTCTAAATGTAAAATCGTGCTGGTCTGTCTTGCTTGAGTCTGCTTTGAAAAGATAAAAGAGGCTCGATGTGGGTAACACTGTTGATGTGGCATACCTGATTTTTTTTTCAAAAGGCATATGATACAATGCCGCATGAGGGAAAAGTGTAAAAGTACAAATTTGGATATGCAATTGGTTGAGTGATAGACAGAGAAATGGTCAATGGATGGTTTTCGGATAGGAGGAAGGTTTGTAATGGATTTCCCTAGGGTTGATATTGGACTGTTGCTTTTCCTGATCTGTTTAAATGATCTAGATCTTTGCGTGGAGGTGACAATTGCAAAGTTTGCTGACACAAAACTTGAAGGAATTGTAAACTGTGAGGATAGTGTAGAAGTTCAAAAGGACATAGACAAGTGGTGGATGGGTAGTAGATGGAGTTCAATGCACCTTTGATTAAAATGGATCATTTTGGTTTTGCGAAGCTCAATATGACTATGCTCATTAATATATACTTATGTTCCATTCGATGATAACGATTGATCATTGTTAAGGCCATTGCAGTGGTAGAGAGGATGAAGGTGTGTTCAGTGTTTGTTTGCCAGAAGGAAAGAAAAATCTCAATGATACTTTGCTGCTAATGTGTACACTGGATGCCTGTTGTAACATGAATGTTGTTGTGTGATAGCATCATAGCTGGACTGCACCAGTGAGACAGCTATTTTCTCCCATTTTTAGTGAGTAAGATGAAGATGTTAAATGAATATTTATATCTTCTGGGAGCAAATCAACACATTATTGAATCACTTTGTTACAGTGAAAACCTGTAACACTCTTGGACCAGATGCCAAATTTTTCTTACAATCTGGCTAAGAAGCAGGAAGTTTCATTTTTTAAAAATAGATTAAGTGGGAGATCCTGGAGATTTCCTAAGAGAATAAAGACCGAAGATTCCACAGTTTTGAACAAAAATGACCTTCACTTTGCCAGCATTTAAAGTAGTAAGACATATGCAACTTGTTTCAAATATCGTGTTAACATGGTAAATAAGAAAATTGGACTGATCAAACACCCCACATGTCACATGGCAAATGCAAACAACGTCAATCCCACAGGTTTCTCTGCAGTTTCCCTAAGAGGAGGAAATGCTGCTGCTTGTGGACCTTTTTTTAACCTCATTATCAACTGCTCTGAAGTATTAACATGCTTCTCCTGGTCCTCTCCTGGATTGCCCCGACAGAGAGCAAGCAACCTTTCCTCAGCTCGCCAGGACGTCTGACTCCTGACATGGAGGAAGCACTAAGGGGGCAAAATGTACTCTGTTTGGGGGATTTCAATGTCTACCACCAAGAGTGGCTTGGCAGCAGCACTACAGATTGAACTGGTCAGGTCCTAAAGGACATACCTGCTAGACTGGGTATGCGGTAAGTAATGAGGGAACCAACAAGAGGAAAAAGCATACTTGACCTCATCCTTACCAGTTTGTCAGCTGCAGATGCATCAGTTTGTGACAGTATTGGTAAGAGTGACCACCGTACAGTGCTTGTAGAGATGCCCTTACATTGAGAATTAGCTCCATGTTGTGGTGTTGTCCTCTCACCGTGCTAAACTGAACAGACTTTGAACAGATCTAGCAATTCAAGATTGGGCATCCATGAGGTGCTGTAGGCCAATTAAAGCA